GGGTTTCAATGCATTCCAATGGGGAAAGGGTTTTCGCATGACGACGATTTCGCTAAACAGAGATTTTCCCAGGACGGATTATTGTCGTAATGCGGGGCACCACTGTATTTGATTTTTGGTTTATGTATTGTGGATGAACACTGTATTGCTATATAAAAACAGACAGACAGACAAACAAACCATTCATTCATTCATTCAATGTTGTTGAAAACTGATAATGTCTTTTTTGTCCTTTTCTGTAAGCCAACATAAATGTCTTCGGAAATGGATAAAACTAATAAATGACATTAAATGGATGAATTTAGCAATGTCAGGTAGAAACATGGTCTTCTGATTGGCCCAGTTTTCCAGTTCTTTTGGTAGGAACAAGCATTGCTTCTCACATTAGATATATTGGTGGTCCATGGGATGTTCTGGGGGTCGACCAGTCTGGTTTGCACTTACACATACAACAGAATGAAAGAGATGAGCTTCTCATTCACTCGTTCACAGTGTACAAAATGGAACACATTGCTAGTGACTGTATGAACTGGGTCACTGCAGCAGAGGTGTTCCTAGTTTTTGTGGGAACCCATGCAGAAGTTCAAAAAGGATCACTTTATTCTTTTCTTTGTTATTAAACTTATATCCCACTTTCCCATTCAAAAAGGCAAGGCAGCCCACAAACAGCATGAAAGATCAATTTAGAAGTTAAAAGTTACCTATGTTTATTTCAATCTACAGCCAACACAGAAACTTGAGTTGGAAGGCAGAATGTTTCAAAGCCATCCTGCGAGGAAGGTTATGTGCCTATTTTGTGTTTTGTTTGGTTGCCTCTGCCTTAAAGAATAAGAGAGCTCCGAAATGTCCTATCATCAACAGCTCTCCGCAGCTCCTGGACGTTCAAGGCTCTGGTTTCCTTTATGGAGTCAATCTATTTCCTGTTTCGTCTTCTTTTTTCCTGCCGCCTTCAGTTCTTCCTAGCGTTATTGTCCTTTCTTGCAAGTCCTGTCTCATGATATCCTTTATGGAGTCAATCTATTTCCTGTTTGGTCTTCTTTTTTCCTGCCGCCTTCAGCTCTTCCTAGCATTATTGTCTTTTCTTGCAAGTCCTGTCTCATGATGTGCCCAAAGTATAACAGCCTCAGTCTCTTCATTGAGGGTTAAAATTAGGACTAGTCTACAAAACTAACAAATTGCAATGCCAGACTTCCTGAACTGCATCATTTGAAGTGAATCTCTTTAGTGAATGTTATCAGTATGTTGGTTTTTAGTATCCCTTTGTGCTACTGTTTGTGTTAGAAATAAGTATTGAAATCCAGTCTTTTGTTGACACATGGTTTCCTAACTACAAATATTGGTGAGCATCCAAATATACAACTTCCCCACCCCAAGGCTGAAGTAATACAATGAAGGAAAATTTGCACTATATAATCTTCTGTCTGTCTTGAGTTGCTCTGGGTGACTTGGTCTAGCTAAGGCTAGAGACTTCATGATTCTACTTTCCGAACAGAGCCTTTGTCATAGACCTATAGGTCAATACCTACACATATATCTATATGTACATCCAGGGGTCATCTTGGTGGCAGGATTCTGGGAGTTGTGGTCCATAAAAGTAACTGCCCAAGCTTTTATATATGCATGGCTGGTAGCACTGAAGGCATCTGTGCAAAAATCTGGAGAGCTCCATCGGAGTGCTGGCATACTGCTGGCTCATCCCTGTTTGGGCCAGCTGGTCTGAGCAGACGGGTCTGTAGTACCCCAGTTTGGCTGAGCAGTATGAGTGTGGAGAAAGCCAGATGGGACTCATGCCATGCTGAGCCAGGCATTATTGGAGTAGACGAACATGTCAGCCATGGCTGCAGCAGTGACAGATGCCATGCACCGGTATCTCTTTTTGGCACACTGGCTTGAGACACAATGCCTTCTACAAAGCCACAGATACATTCTCTCAAACTAGAGACCAAATCACATGATCAGGCCACTTTCTCACACAATGAAATGGGCATCCTATGGATGGCAGGGAGTATAGAAGCTTTTCATATTACAAGTCACAATTGCAAGAGTAACAGGTGGCATAGCTTATGAGGATTGTGTGGGGTAGGTGAGCACCTTTTGTGTGTCCAGGGACCAATCTTCTGCCTCCATCAGACTGTACAGGCCACAAAGAGAGAGAGAGAGAGAGAGAGAGAGAGAGAGCGAGAGAATTCCAAAACAACCATCCACTTTAACTTTTGAAAAGGAAAAAAAATATTTTGAAGTGTTAAATGATGCAGAGCAGCCCTGTACAGTAACTTACTGTTATTATAAAAAATTTTTGTCAGAAAACGAGAGGTTGGGAGATAGCTAAATGGTTTGTAAGGTCTGCAGACTATACATGCAAGTTGTGTGTCACCTTGTACTAAAGGGACAAGTTATTTTTCAGTTAGGACTAAGGTCAAGCAAGTATATCCCATGACAATAGCCCAAACTATATCCAGTTGTGTTTGGATTACAACTTCCATCATCCCCCACCATTGGTTGTGTTGGCTCAGCTAGTGGAATTGCAGCCTACCAAATATCTGGAAGGCCGAGGGCACCCCAATTCAGTTGTAACATTTTCTGATGAAAGCTTCTCAGTAAGTTTGCATTGACTGAATAGGAGAAAATCAGTAATTCAATATAGGAATTCTGTTGAAGTTGTGACACTTCAAGTCCTGTAAAGCTTATTTTGTTTGTGTATTCTCAAAGGGTTTCATGGCCAGGATCCAAAGGTTGTTGTAGGTTTTTCGGGCTTTTTAGCCGTGCTCTGGAGGTTGTTCTTCCTAAAATTTCACCAGTCTCTGTGGCCGGCATCTTCAGAGCACAGGAGTCAGAACTCTGTCTGCATTCTTATTTTGTTTTATTTTTTTTTCAATCTGTCCCTGTGGGTTGTACAAGAAACTCCCAGGATCAAATCAGTAGTCTCTCTGAGAAGCATACTTTGAAAATAATAATACGTCTGAGAAGCTTTCATCAGAAAGTGTTATGCTGGCTGGATAGCTCAATGGTTTAGGTATCTGGCTGCAGAACCAGAGGCTGGGAGTTTGATTCTCCACTATGTTTCCTGTAAGCAGAGCCAGCCTGTGTAGTCATGGACAAGCTGCACAGTCCCAGGGAGCCCCCAGAAGAAGGGAATGGTAAACCACTTCTCTACTTTGGAAACCTTGGAAAGGGTCACTGTACGTTGGAGTCGGAATTGTCTTGATGGTACACAATACATACATAAATAAATTATGCACTTTTATTCAGATTTACAAATGCTGGAGATGTGGAAGTAGTTGTTTGCTGAGATCAACATGTCAGCATCCTGTTTTCTTTTCCAAATGCTACCCCCTCCTTTTTTCCCCTTTCCTTCAGCCACATCTGTTTTTCTAGTTTATTTTATTTTATTTATTTTTTTAATTATGAGCACTGTAAGGGCTCTGGACACTGATGAACAATTCAGTTCTGCTGCTCTGAGTGGGAGATAAAGCTGAATAAACAAATCACTAAATAAAATATGATAGCATTCTCGCTTCTAATAGTTCTTGAATTGTATGCTGCGAATGAACCAAATTATTTGACACAAATTGCCTTTCAGCACAGGGGAAGGGAGAAAGAATCCAGAGAATGGTCTCAAAGCACATAGTGCAGTTGTGCTGCAGACGCTTAAACAGATTTTGGCCCTGATATGTGAGTTTTTTTTTAAAAAAAATGTAGATATGTGTATGTCTATTCAGAAACAAGATTTAATATGTAAAAGCCTGGTGGCAGAGCTGTGTGTCTTATCTGGTGATGATGACATTAGCCTGCAATATTAGACTTAATTTAATTTAATTTAATTTAATTCAATGTTTCCTATCCCTCCCCCCTAGCTCCCAAGGCTCCCTAGGGATTCTTTTGACCTCGGTAACCTTAGGACAGGGAGCATTTTTAGTATCTGAAAGTTACTGCTGGGATCAGGAGCAGCAGCACAATTTATCCTTTTTTAAATTGTTTTGATAACTTGGATTAGGGTATGGGATACAGAAGGTGAGGGGTGTGAGGGGGGAAAAGGGTTGGGGGGGGAAAGAGAAACAAAAATATACTAACATCCAGGACAAGCAGCACCATTTATGACACACAGCTCTGCCAATAGGATTTCAGCCAATGTGTTTGACAGTGCTTTCTCCTAGATTTTTATTATTTGCTTTTTTAAAATATTTTTACCTCACCTTTCTCATCAAATAGAATCCAGGGCAGCTATTGATTAGTAGTTATAGGACTTCTAGATTAATGGTTATAGGACTATAGTTTAAACCTACTGAGGACTGTAATATTGTCCACCTTACCCTGAACTGGTTTCCTTCAGATATGGTGGAACTACAATTGCCCTTACCTTCAGCCATTACAGGCTGATGGGCATGCTGACAGTCTGACAGTCCAACATCTCTGGAAGGCATTAAATGGAGGGAGATTGCACTACCCATTGAACCTGAGGTGGGGATCAGGGAAGGAAATATTTCCACTAAAAAGGAGGACATTCAAAAAGGAAGACATTGTTTTGATTAAACATGCATATGCTAGTTTAAACTAACATATGCAAATTCATCACAATTTGACATTATTACAATATTTAAGTGGAAATACTCTCGATATTTCATAGGATTGTGACTAGGTAACCACATTGGGACAAAGCACTGAGAAAACGATGGGATAAAAATAAATGAGGCATAGTGTTTAATCACTCTCTGAAACGCTCTGTGCTTTGTATTTTCTGAAGCTTATTGCAAATGAACACATATTGAAAGAAAATAAAGAGAGGTCACTGTAGTTTCTTGTAAATATTTAGCTAGGCAATGATCAGTTATTTCAAAAGCATGATTTAAACATTTTAGAATGCCCACTCCTGGAGCTGATCTCAGATCTGAAGTTCATATAGAACTGAGGTGCTGTTCCATATCCTTCCTGCTTTCATCAGGAGTTACATCATTATGTGTGTTTGGCATCTTTCCTACAAAATGACACACACCCCCACAAACAATTTCACTTCAAAAATTAGAGTTGTCTGATTAAATACATTTACAAATCAAGGCCTTTACTTTCCCAACTCGTCCAGGTAACCTCACTGGAGGAGTGTGTGGCCACTTAGACATAATGAAAAAGGTAGAAATCCATTAACAAAAAGGAGGACAGCTCTTCAACTAGAGCAGTGATGGTGAACCTTTTTGAGCCCGAGTGCCCAAACTGCAACACAAAATCAACTTATTTATTTCAAAGTGCCAACACTGCAGTTAAAACCCAAATGCTGAGGTTTTAGTTTCGAAAAAACAGCTGCTCTTGCACTGCAAGGATTAAATGCTTGATGTTTTTTCCCCCATGGGTGGTATTAACAAAGAAATACTTACCACCTCCAGTCCTCCACTGGTTTAGACCGGTAATGGTCGCCATTGCACCCCTCCACTGGATCACTGCACCAGCAGAGGGGAGTGCCAAAATCCGGGATCAGAGGACAGGTATTTCTCTATGGCGACCTATGGCTCATGTGCCCACAGAGAGGGCTCTGTGTGCCGGCTGTGGCATGTGTGCCATAGGTTCGCCATTACTGAACTAGAGGATTACCCTCTCTAAAGAAAGACATAGGGCCAGCTTACCACTGGTAGGCTAAGTAAATAATGAAAGTACATTTGAGATATTCAAATTATAATACAGTATCTGTGTTGCGTGAAAGACACCTTTATTGTTATAGCATTCCTAGAGCTTGGGATATTCCACAAAGATCAAGGACAACCTGAGGTTTCCAGAGAATGCACAGCCCTACAACCCCAAAACCACAACTCCCTTCCTCAACGCAGAGTCTACTGCTCCTAGGTCCTGTGTGAGTACTTTTCTCTGTTTAGAAGACATGATCCTGGAGCCACAGAGCCTTTCTGAGCTCCTGGTGCTCTCCATGTTGTTTGGGCAGCCGGTGATTAAGCAAGCCACTGACTGGATAATTGCTGAACACTTGTGGTGACTGCTGTCACTGGGACTCTGTGTGTTATTGCAGAATCGCTGTGGCGAGTAATGACTCTCTCCTGCAGCTGAGCGAACACGCTAATTATCTGGAGAGAGCCACACTCCCCAGTATCCCCTAGAAGGGCAGGATAGATGAGATGTTGAAGTCCAGCTTGTGATTTCGCAAGAGACACAATTTTAATTTTCTGCCTTTGTATAATGACATTATTGGCTTGCAAGATTGAAGATGAGATGCTCAGAGACTGTCAACCTAAATATGTTTTATGAGTGGACAAGCCACACTGGCCTAAATCCAACTGTTAGTCCCAACTAAAGGAGACCCAATAAAGCAACAAAACCTTTGTAAGTGTTGACTTACAGTGTTTCTATTGATTCAATGGGTCTCCTTTAGCTGAGACTCCCAATGAGATTTAGGCTATTGGGACTTACTTCGGACAGATACCTATTAAATTGTTCGGAACGAAATAAAACAAGTGACATTTTGAGGAATGGGAGGGAGGCCACATTCCCAGAAGGAAAATTGGGACGGCTTGTTTCTGTGTGGGCCAAAAATGGCAATCAAGGGAATGCACATCATTAAGATGCCACCTGTTCAAGCCTTCCCAGTGTGGGTCTTCTACATCTGTGGTTTCTACATATGGGCCCCAGGTGTTGTTGGGCTTCAGCTTCCAGAAGACCTAGCCAGCATGGCCAGGAATTGTGGAAATTGTAGTCCAACAGTATCTAGGTATCCAAGATTGGGAAACATTGTTCTAAATGTTTCAAGTATAATTCCCATGGGGGCCTAGAGGGTCATGGGAGATATAGACCATCACAGTTGGAGGAAACACACAAAATAATTTGGGAACTTCATGATGTTGCTCAATCTAAAGTTTGAAGAAGAAACATGGGTGGAAGTTGTTATGCACTTTGTACAATATGTTGGGAAGTACTTAAGTAATATGATTCATAACAACTTTTTTTTTAAAAAAATAGCTCTATAAAGATCAACTTGCATTACTCCTCCTGTCTGGCTGGCCATTTTGCTCATCCCAAGAAAGAAACTCCCTAGGTTACTGTTGCTAGGTGACCACTGAATAACCTTCCAGATTGGCCACCTCAGAGTATAGGCAACAAAAAACAATCTGTCACAATAAGCAGCTCAGGCAGTGAGTATTTATGTCAGGAGCAAAGAAACTTCCATCATCCTCACTGTGAGAGAAGTTGTGCCTGCCCTCCTATGTTTCTTTTTTCCTTTTTTTAAAATTAATTAACTAATCAGAAAGCTAAAGGTGAATCTATACCTAAACATGAGGTAATAGCAGTGGGCTATTTAGAGCTCTAGCCTTACTAATAAGAGAGTAGAGAGATGCTGAGGAGGGTCCAGCAACAATATAATGGAGAAGAGAACCATTGGCTAAATAGTCTACCCTTCATTCCCCTAAGCTGGCCTACTGCCTTTGGCATGATGGAGGACCATGTCCCATCAGCTGTGTCGAAAAAAGATTTAGTTGCCAGTGTACTTGGCTTTTCTACATTGGATGATGAGGGATTTGTCTTGTCCTTCACTTCAGGCAATAAAAGTGTCATGGGCTAGCCCTGGCTTTACATGTACTGTTCTACACACTAGTAGCATCACCTCCCATTTGAATTTGAACTGGGACACATTTGCCAAAATGGCTGCCCACCCCTGCTTTCTGAGGTGGGAGGGAAAGAAAGTAGTAGTGGAGAAGATGTACATGTGCTTAGCTGTGATTCATTTTGCCTTGCCCTGATGGTAGTCACAGAATCCATCCTACATGTTTTCAGCTGGGAAATGAAGCATAACTTATCCATAACTTATTCAACTGCTGGATAGCTCAGTGGTTTAGGTGAAATTCAATTCCCCACTGGGCCTCCTTGACAGGAATGGGACTTGACGGTCCTTAGGACCCCTCCCACCTTTGTAGTTCTGAGATTCTGAGATGATTTTAGCAGTCTTCAACATAAAGTTGCTATTCCTTGTCAAGGGGATGTTGGTACTGTTTCAGAAACAGGAGTTTTAAAAAAATTGTTTGATGCTGGCATGTGCTGAAGTAAAATGACGCCATTCTCAAATGGGGCCATTCCATCTGTCAGGGAGAGGAAAGGGGCAAAGGACCAGATTTTGGCAGCTGAAATTAGGGGGCTCAAGTAGCCAAGAGAGAAAGAATCTTGCCCTAAGAGTGATAAATCTCAGAAAAGGTTGCTGGCCTTGCCCAGCTGGTAGCTCTTTGCCATCTGGAGAAATGAAATCTTGGTCCTTTCTTGGGGTTAATGGTTTTCAGATTCTGGCAAGTGGTGTGCCAGTCTTGGAAAAGTCTCTTCCATCTGTCACAGAAAGCCAAAGGGCAAAATGCTGAATCTTGGCAGCTGAGATTGGACAGGTCCTGCTCTAGCTCATGCCAAAGAAGAAAGGTTGCTGGCCCTGCCCATCTGGAACCTCTTGGCCAGCTGGAGAAATTAAATGTTTGGCATGGAGACCAGAGGGCAAGGCTCTGAGCAGAGCTCACACCATCAACCTGCAATTGTTTTCCCGGAACTGGCTCCATCAATCTGCATAACAGGGTAAAGTTCTTCCATCCGTCTTGTGCCATTTGAAGAACAGCCCATAGAGATTTTTGTTTTGTTTTTTCAGGAAGAAGTTTTCGCCAAAGAATCAGAGAGCTATATGGAAACTTTTACCTGGCTGCAAGTGAGGACAATCCTATTGGAGCTTAGAGGTGAGTGATCCACGCCAAGAAGCAAGATACTGGGGCTGGCTATCTACTCAGCTATCCACTCAGTAGCTGAGATGAAGAGCTTCTCTTCACTATGGTAGAAGCTGGCAATGCTGACCTGTGTAGTTAGTGTTGTGTTACCAGTTGGTTTTTTTATTCAAAATGTCACTGCGCAATCAACAAATGCTGTGTGTTTGAGAGCAGTTATCATCACATCCATTCATCCAAATTTATGGTCTGATGGCAGGGATACATCGTGCATACAAATCATGCATCATTTGAGTCTAAAATGGGCAATAAATGTAGACAGACAGACAGACAGAGCGAGTGATTGATTGATTTAAACAAGTGTGTGTTTGTATGTAATGGGTGGCCAGACAGACAGACTGACTGACTGATTGATTTAAACAAGTGTGTGTTTGTACGTAACGGGTGGAGGGCAAAACTTGGAATGTATTTTTAAAAAGTAATTGGCTGCCCTTGCAGTTCAAAGTGGAAAAACACTAGTTTATTAGCATACGAACTATCATTGTTATAGTCATAATTTGTAAACAGTAACGTTTTTGTTGTAATTGTTATAGTCATAATTTGTAAACAGTAATGTTTTTGTTTTAAGTAAGTCATGTCCAAGTCTTTGTGACCCCACGGACCAGAGCACACCAGGCCGTCCTATCCTCCACTGCCTCCCAAAGTTGTGATCATGACCAGCTCCTATCCTCCACTGCCTCCCAGAGTTGTGATCATGACCAGTGCTCATGATCTTAGTTTTTTTTGATGTTGAGCTTCAGACCATTTTTTGCACTCTCCTCTTTCACCTCATTAAGATTCCTCCTCATTTAATTCCTCCTCACTTTCTGCCATCAGAGTGGTACCGTCTGCATACCTGAGGTTGTTGATATTTCTTCTGGAAATCTTAATTCCGGCTTGGGATTCCTCCAGTCCAGCCTTTCGCATGATGTATTCTGCATATAAATTAAATAAGCAGAGAGACAATATACAGCCTTGTCATTCTCCTTTCCCAATTTTGACCCAATCAGTTGTTCCATATCCAGTTCTAACTGTTGCTTATCTATCTCCTATTCAGGAGATAGATAAGGTGGCCAGGCACTCCCATTTCTTTAAGGATTTGCCATAGTTTGTTCTGGTAGACAGTCAAAGGCTTTTGTGTAGTCAATGAAGCAGAAGCAGATGTTTTTCTGGAACTCTCTGGCTTTCTCTATAATCCCGCGCATGTTAGCAATTTGATTTCTAGTTCCTCTGCCCCTTCAAAATCCAGCTTGTACTTCTGAGAGTTCTCGGTCCACATACTGCTGAAGCCTACCTTGTAGGATTTTGAGCATAACCTTGCTAGTGTGTGAAATGAGTGCAATTGTCCGGTAGTTGGAGCATTCTTTGGCACTGCCCTTCTTTGCGATTGGGATGTAGACTGTGTCGTGGTATGGTTAAACCGGCATTTGTTCCCTGAGATTCTGGAAAGACTTACTAAAAGAACAGCTGCAAGACATCACAGCTGTAGCTGATAAGAGACATTGTATATAAGGCAAAAACGCCAGTACTTGGTGTGGGTTAATGTTGGTGAAGAGTTACGTGTGTAGGAGTGTTCGTTTGCTGTTAACTGCTGTATATCTACTGTTATTTTCTACTACTACTGCTTATCATCTCAAGTAAAATACCTCTAAAGAAGGACTGACTTCGTTCATTGTGCTTCTTTCTGCTGGACATCTGCTAAATTCTTCAAACAAAACACAACAGGTTATGGGATCCAGCCTGCGCTTCTGAGAGCAGCAAAGCTTGAGAGCAGTGAGTAGCATTGAAGATAAAACAGCGACAGAGAATGTCGGACACAGATGAAGGACCAGGAATGTCTGGAGGAGCGGCAGCTATAACTCAACAGATAACTCCCTATCCTATAT